ATTAATATTGTGAAAATGACCATCCTACCAAAAGCCCTTTACAAATTCAATGCAATGCCAATAAAATCCCCATGACATTCTTTACAGAAATGGAAAAAATATCCTAAGATTCATATGGAAGCACAAGAGACCTCGGATAGCCAAAACAACCCTGAGCACTAAGAGCAATGCTGGGAGGATTACTATACCAGATTTTAAATTGTATTTCAGAGCTGTAGTCATAAATACAACATCCTACTGGCACAAAAGTAGACCCATAGATTAATGGAACAATATTGAAGACCCAAATATGAGTACATGCAATTTCAGCCACCTGGTATTTGGCAAAGGGGTCAAGAACATTCACTGGAGGAAAGACAGCATGTTCAGCAAATGGTGCTGGCAAAACTGGATCTCCACCTGTAGAAAAATTCAACTAAACCCCTATCTTTTACCTTGCACAAAAATCATCTTCAAATGGATCAGATACCTTAATGTGAAGCCTGAAACTCTGAAACTGTTAAAACAAAACATTGGTAATAGCCTACAAGATATAGGTGTAGGAAAAGGTTTTCTAAACCGGACATCAATTGCTCAGGAAACTAAGGTCAAGAATCAACAAATGGGACCTCGTTAAACTAAAAACCTTCTGTACATCCAAAGAAGCAACCAAGGAAGTGAAGAGAAAACCCACAGAATGGGAGAAAATCTTCACCAGCAACACATCTGACAGAGGTTTAACATCCAGAATATATAATGAACTCAAAAAACAAAGAATCAAGAAAGGAAGTAACCCAATTAAAAGATAGGCTAAGGAACTAAATACACAATTCTCAAAGGAAGAATTAAAGATGGCTAAGAAACATCTTAAAAGGTGTTCAACATCATTAGTACTTTGGAAATGCAAATTAAAACCACTTTAAGATTTCATCTTACCCCTGTCAGACTGGCTAAGATCAAGAGAACAAATAATACCAAATGTTGGAGAGGATGTGGGGAAAGGGGAACAATCTTCCACTGCTGGTGGGATTGCAAATTTGTTCAACCTATATGGAAAGCAGTGTAGGGTGCTCTTAAAAAACTACAAATGAACCTACCGTTTGACCCAGTTATACCACTCCTTGGCATATAGCCGAAGAATTCATCCTATTGCAGAGACACTTTTCACAATAGCTAAGAGATAGAAGCAACCTAAGTGTCCATCAACTGACGAGTGGATAATGAAAATATGGTTCATTTATACGATGGAGTTTTAGTCAGTAGTAAAGAAAGATGAAATCATGAAATTTTCAAATAAAAGGATGGAACTAGAATCTGTTATACTAAATGAAGTACCACAGACTCAGAAAAAAATAATAATATATTCTCTCCCTCATATGTGGATACTAGCACCAAATCCTTAGAAGTGTGTATGTATCCAAACATAATTACAGGAACCAGGGAGGTAGTAGAAAAGAAAGAATCTGAAAGAGAAGAACAGTAGGAAACAGGTGTTAATAAGGGAGATATGGATAAAAATGGGGCTATTTTAAGGGGGGTGTTATCCAAAGAACCTTGGGGATAAAGGGAAAGAAGGAGCTCAAGAGAGGTGGGATCATAGGGCAAAGGTATTATTAAGGGAGAAATGGAAAAAATGGGTACACTTTAAATGATGAAACCATGGTGGAAGGGTTAGACAATGTGTGAGAGAAATAATGCCTTGCTACTTTTTAAAAAAAACAGAGGAAACCATAGTAGTCCAACAACCTACTGACAAAATATACATACAACTAGCTCAAGGAACATAATATATGTCTGGTCAAGGTTTATCTGAGAACCTTTGGTCTTTGCCCAAGCTTTATCTACATAGTACATGGTAATTAAAAGTACCAGACTGGTAGAACTAACCTTCTTCGGTGTTTAACAGCCATATTTTGAGGCTTATACTAATTTGGTCAGAGGAACTTAAAGGACTGCTCCTTCCCCTCTAAGGTGAACTAAGTTCCAGGGGGCTGTGGAGCATCTCTCAACATCTCCTGTAACTATGGTGAGTCACCTGTCCTCTTGATTAAGGAGGTCATGGAGACCCCACCAGATGGACTTGAACCAGTGTCCAGTCTACAAAGAGGAAGGGCAACACAGAGGAAACATTTCCTCCATGCTTCCAACTGAAGCCAGCTGTGGTTGAGCAGGACCTTTGACTTATCTTTACATAGGTGGAGCTGGTAGAGGAAAGTAGCCAGGGCCTCCTCCTAAGCCTATATGACCCCTGAGGAACAGATTCTCAAATGTCCTTAAGAGTAAGAATGAATTGGTTTATCTCGGCCAACTGCATGGTCTTAAACCCACCCCTTGCGTCAGCCACTAGTTTGATTACAGTCTCCTAATTTTCAAATCCTAGATTCCAGGCCTTTAATCCCCAGAGGTTGAAGGAGGACCAAGCCTCCTATGAGTATATTCAGTACAATTAGTAATGGCCAAGATCTTGGCTCTCACAAGATCTGGAAATGAAGGAGACCATTCAGTTCATCTACCGTTGAGCTAACTATTATTTCTGACCCCATCTAGGAATAATTGGTATCTACATCTCATCTTAAATTCCTAGGCATATACATGTAAGTGTGATTTGACCATTCTGGATCTTAAGGTTCTATGCCCAACTGTAGAGTGTTGTTGGGGTTGTATGAAGTTTCCTGCCCCTGTGCATCATCTTTCTATCCCATTTCCTTTAAGAAGCTCTCAGTCTCTTTCTATGCAGACTCTTTTACAGCATAAGCCCTGCCCTAAAGTTTAGGGGGAGGTCTTCCACTAAGACGGACTGGGAAAACTCTGAAGGCCTGAGAGGCACTGTGAACTATCCCAACAAGTATTTTAAGTTGAAGTTATCAATTATCATTAAGCAACTACACAAGTGAGCTTATTAACCACCAATCAATAAATGTGACACCATATTGTGAACAGAAAAAATTAACAAACATTTATAGAGGATGTTGTTTTATTTTCTCAAGGTAAAACACACACACAAAAACAAACAAGCAACAAAACAACAAATAAAAACCAAAAACCTCTATCCAGAAACAATTTGGAGGAATAAAATAAGGAAGCTAGACCAATAAGCATATTATATGTATTGCTGTCGATAAATGCTTATCAATAAAATGATGTGTATTGATGAGTTCCCCCAAACTCTCACTTTTATTTATGATAAAATCCCAGTAGGATATATTGTACACATATTTTTTGCTATTTAAACATTACAGAAATTAAAATGTTCATGTGATACACACACACACACACACACACACACACATACACACACACACACCATGGAATACTATTCAACCATATAAAAGAGTTCATATCAACAAGGATGGAGCTGGGAGACATTATGTCACATGAGATAAGCCAGGCACAGAAAGACAAGTATCACGAGATCCCTCCCATGTGGAATCTAAGAACAAAACTGATGTCATAGAAATTGAGAATAGAATGGTAGTTACCAGAGCCTGGGGTGGGAGGGGGTTAATGGGAAAGGAGAAGTTGGTCAGTGTGTAAAAGTCATAGTTAATCTCATCTAAGCAGGAAGAAGTTCTGGTAAGCTATTGCACAGTAGGGTGACTATAGCTAATGCTTATGCACTATACATTACAAAAGCTAGAAGAAAGAACTGTGAATGTTTGCACCATAAAGAAATGATACATCTGAACAGATATGTTTAATCTGATTTAAACAGTACACAATATGTATGTATCAAAATAATTACAAGTTTCCACATAAATATAGATATCATTATGTTTTTGCATATCAGTTAAAAACAAATTTAAATTTATTTAAAAAAAGATTTCTGGCTGGAGAGATGGCTCAGCGGTTAAGAGCACTGAACTGCTCTTACAGAGGACCCAGGTTCGATTCCTAGCACCCACGTGGCAGCTACAAACCATCCTTAACTCCAGTTCCAGGGGAATCCAAAGCCCTCTTCTGATCTCCGGGGCATTGCACAACACATGTACACTCACATACATGCAAGTGATACACTCATGCACATAAAAATAATAAATAAAATATTTTTTGAAAAAGGATTTCTTTCCTGCATAAACTTATCAGCAGACTGGTCATTGTATTTCAGGTTATCATGACCCTTACCTGTAACAAATCTGTTAACAGAAGGTTCATATTCTCTATCTAATGCTATTCTAGTTAACGATCCATGATCCCATCCATGTCATAGAAGGACATCTTTCTATGAGCCGGTTGGCTCTTCTCTTCCCCATTGTATTAGTCAAGATTTTCCAGAACAGATCCAACAGGATGTATGTGGGTTAAGAGGGTTGTAAGAGGAGATTTGTTGGAGGGATTTCAGGTATAGAGGCTGAGTATCTCAAAGTTAGAACCCTAGGATACCAGGAGCCAGGCTCCATGCAGATCCAAAGAGTGCAGAATCAGGAATGCTCAAAGTGTAATTCTCATTTCAAGGCCAAAGGCCTGAAAGCTCTGAGACCACAAGTGTTAAGTTCTGGAGTCTCAAGGCTGGACGGCTTGGAGTTCAGGTTTCTGAAGGCAGGAAACAGACAGTGAGTGTCTCAGCTCTAGGAGAGGGAGATCAAGTGGGTGGTATCCGACTGCTGAGGGCGGCTTCCCACTTGTGTACTCTGACTCACATGAATCTATGGAAACACCCTCCCAGACATACACAAAAAAAATGCTTTCCCAATTCTCTAGTATTTCTTATCCCAGGAAAGCTGACTAAATTAACCATCATCCTCACAGTGAGTTGGAAACACAGAGACAGCACAATTTATTTAATAAGTTTTAGGATAGAGCCTGGTGCTCTTCCAGTCTCAAAATGGAGCTTTTCCTTTCAATACTGTTATGGTTGTATATGTATGTACACATTGTTTAACATGTCAGTTTTGACAAGGCTCAAATGGTTTATGCTGCTATTTAATACTTGCTAATCCTCTCTGTTATAGAAATGCTGTTTCTAGCCTGACTTGTTCCTAGATGATATATAAATAATAGAGATTATTCACATTTCTTCACAGAGCTGTTCTTTTAAACCACATGGCCAGAGAACATGCTTTCAATATTGGTTTGCCAGACAACATTGTAAACTGCAGTGAATTCCTAGGTACATTACAAAAGAAGCTTGACAAGTAAGTGCTGTCTTATAAATCACAACCTAAACCTGTTTTAATCTTAGACCTCTTGTGAATTTTTTAA